AAGCCCTTTGGATTGGGAACCCAGTCTGACACTTGCTTTTATAAATAATTACTAAACCCCATTTATGAAATATCAAGGTGAGACTTACCTCCACCCTGGAGGTAAGGGTGCAACACCTTACCTGCAGGGCTGGAGGGCTGTAACACTCTAGGGAATACAAAGTGAGACGCTCATATGTGTTCACATTCCAATAAACCAGGTTACATCAGCACACAATCATGTGCATCTGTATGTCCAGGGAAACTGAGGCCTGAAGAGGTAGGGAAGGCCACGGCCAGCACATAGGGCTGTGGTGCTGAGGGCCCAGGTCTGGAGGAGGTAGAGTGGACCTGCCAAGCTGGACACTGGCAGGATTATGAAGGTGGCTGCAGCTGGGACATATCTCAGACAAGCTGAACTCTCCATGGGGGTCAACAGATGATGTGCCAGGGACAGTGTCAGCCTCACTGCATGGTACAGAGTGGGCATCAGGGTGCAGGAGGGTAAGGACCTGGGAGCTGAGGACAGGGAGCTGTGGGAGCACAGCTGGGGCAGACAACGACTTTGTCAAGGGCAGGGGAGGTGTGCAGGACAGTGCAGCCAATGGAAGGAGGTCCTGTAGGTGCTGTGCTGGCTGAAGGGGACAGCAGGGCATGGCCTGCCTCTCACCCAGCACACCCCACAGGGCAGGCCACCCTCCTCTTCTGCTCCAGTCCTGGCTGTTGCCCTCCCTGCCACAGGCCACCTGATGGGGTCTTTTCCCTTCCTTACAGATGCCTGAGGATGCCATGCGGGTCCCTCCCTGCACTGCAGGTGGGTGGCGAGCACCCTGGGAATGAGAAGCCCTGTAGTACCCCTAACTGAGGCAGTAAAGCAAAAACAGAGTGTTTGAGTTCATGGGCAAAACCTGAAAAGGGACAGTAATTGTAGGGAAATTGTCAAATACCTCTAACGAGGTCACTGGGAATGATCCCCCAGCAAGGAAAGGCAAGGGGTGTGTTGAGCTCTGTCCAAAGCCCCTGGAACTCCAGTCCCAAACCACTCACCCTGTGTGGTTCACCTGTAGCCCACTGGGGGCACACACAGTTCCTCCTGCACAAACTTGTATCCGAGGGCCTAGATGTCCTGCCATACAGCTAGTGCCTCACACACAGGGCGGAAGGCCTGCTCTGTGATTCATGGCCTTGACGCTGTTACTCTTTAGATAACTCACCAGCCACCCCTAAGGCCACCTACACGTAAGTCTTCCCAGTGGCTCTGTTAAAGCCAAGAGCCCTCTCTGTCATCTGCATCAGTGGCCTGACCACTCAGCCCAACACAAACACTCATGAGGCTCAGGAGAGAGCGGCAGCTGCTGGGCCTTGATTACCCTGTGCACTTCCAAAAAGGGTATGAGGAAGCTCAGAAAACTCTTGTTTTAAGGAAACAGTTTCCTTAAAAGAAACCCTCATTCAAAAAAGAATGAGTTTAGCGACTGAGAATGAGGAAAGGTAACTAGATGATGGAGCCCAAAGGAAACAAGTGCAATTAAATAATAAAAAAGAGAGAGGGTGAAGTCTGAGCTTCCTGGCAGCCAAAGCAAAAAGGGTCCCGGAGAGTAATGTATTTTTTATCCATGAATAAGAGTTCACTAGCTCCTAAGAACCAAAACACATCTCAGCACTGAACTCTGAAGGGAATATATTTCACCTGGATTTTTATGTAATTGTTAGTGACTGTACAGTAAATTAGGAACAAGATTTTAAATGACAGTTTTATAAAACAAGCAAAAACCAAAAACCACTAAAATACTTTCCATGTCTTAACTAATCTGCAATAAAAGATAAAAGTAAAACATGAAATTCCAAAATGATATTTTTGTAGAGAGGTATCTTAACATAAAATGAAGCATATGGTTTTCCCAGGATCTGGCATGACATAAAGTTAAGTGTTTCTGAACCTAACGTCTTGAGGGGTCCATGTTTCCCTTGCATGGGATTCTCCACAAGCTTCGTCACAGTCTGACAGGTTGCCAACAGATAAACTGGTGGCCAGTGGGTAACCCCTGAAAACCTAGGGGAAAAAAGGCATGTTGGGGACACTGCATTTTCTTCTAAAAATTAAGTAGCCGGGCTTGTTTCTTTTGCAGCAGCTCAGGGACACATACCCCTGCAGCACTGGCTGGAGCCCCGGCATCTGCACAGGGGACAACAGGGCAGGGATGCTGAAGACAAGCATGACTCAGCCTCCCAGAACGGGTTTGCAGGTAACTTCACTGGGGCAGTGTCCCAGCATTGTGCCAAAACTGAGCAAATCAGCGCTCCTGCCAGGCAAAGAGCTAATGAGCTAATAAAACTATTTAGCATTTTCCATAGAAAATCTGATGAAAAGAACCGCTTTCTTTTGGCATAATGTGTAGAGGGTTGCTCCATCAGTACAGGCCAAAAGTCTGCCAGTTCCTGGAGACGGCCACACAACACAGGTGGACAAGGATGGGGGGCCCCTTCTCTTCTGGGGCTGGGACCCATCTCCATGGGGAGGAACCAGAGCAAGTCCAGCCATTCAAGATGGGAATTCAGGTAAACAATATCACTTTCTTTTCCAACAGCCCCGTCCTCCATCCCTGGCAAAATGTAAGGCTCAAATGTTTGGGGTCTGCATTTCCCAGGGTCAGAGATGGCCACAGAGGGCCAGGGCAGGAGATAAAGGGCTGACATTCACATCTCTCTGTTCTGACAAACAACTCAAAAAGTTAATAAGAACTAAATTTCAATTTTCCATAAGGTGCTGAGCCACGTACCAAGGATACCAGGTCAAAGGAGCCCGGACAGACCTGATAGTGGGCATTTGGCCAGTGCTGCTTGGAGGCGCCTACAGCGGGTGGAGGCCAGTCTCGGAGGCTGAGTAGCCAGGAGGGGCTGGCCCTTGGTTTAGGCACCAGGTCTAAACTGCCTTGGCTCCTGTCCCCATGGGCTCTGATCCGAGTCAGCCTCAGGGCGATCCCTGCAGAAGGGGCTGCGCGTGTCTACTGAGGAACCAGGGGGCTCCGTGGCACGGCGACTGGGGTGCGGCAGCCACGGCAGAAACAAACCATGCTTTTCCCCTGCACATTTCTAGAAGTTACTACTTAACAGATTCGTGGGTCCTGTGTTTTCTAAATGAAAGTCAGCCGTTCAGGAATGAAGCTTCCTGAAGAACTTCCCTGAAGAAGGAACTTCCCTGGCCTTCTGACCTGTGTTTGCCAGTGCTGGTTCTCAGGTTCCTGTGAGAATAAGCCCATCCCTGGGCACTGCCCCACCCCCACGGCCACATGCTGTTGAGACCCCACCATCATTTCAAACGCCTTCCCAAGGGCAAAAATATATTTTAAAAAATAGATAGTAAAAGAGCAAATCAAAGCATTTTGAGATGAATTACAAGAGTTCAAAGTTAAAAAATACCAATCTCCTAGCCTGAATTTGATTAATAAGTTTGTGCAAAGCTCTTCTGAAAGGCTGTGTCAGCCTCTTCAGCCAGTGCTAATGTCCTGAGCTGAGCTGAGCAGCCTCTTGAGAGACCCACTGCCTGAAGCAGAGGGAGTGTCCAGATGCACCTGGCAGAAGATGAGGCAACGTCAGGGGTGGGGGAGGTACCCACCAAGTCCTGCAGCCTGTGGCAAGCATGTTGGGGAAAGCCCAGGGCACTTCGCTAGGAGCAGAGTGCTGGAAGGGGGACAGTGCCACAGCTCCCGTGGCTGTCACAACACTGGGCACTTCAGCCTGGGGGCTGTGCTGGCGCCTCTCATTTCAACCTTCCTGACTGTAGCTCCTGAGCCTCTTTCCAGAGAGGGTCGTGCCCATACCCTGAGGACAGTCACATTTCTATGTGTTGTCTGTGACAACCCAGAGAATGGGCTCAGGAGCTTCCAGAGAGCTAGACCCACGGGGGCCTGGGGATGCAGCCGGGGTAGGGGCATGGAGGCTCTGCCCTCCCTTGCTCACGCAGCTCCTGTCCACACTCTTCCTAATGCCCTTTATTATTAACCAGTGAGGATGTTTCCCTGAGTTCTCTGAGCTGCCCAGCAAGTTAACCAAACCCTAGGAGAAGTGGACAGATCCAGAACTTGAAGCCAGTGGGCCAGAGGAACCAGAGCCCCACTGGTACCTGGGGGTCTGGGGGACTGAGGACACTGGCCGGTGGGTCCGTTTGCTGTGGACCTGGGCACTGCTTGGTGGTAAGCAGTGACACCTACACTTGGCCCCAGAAGGCTCCGGTGCTGGTTGTTGTCTATGAGAGCAGAGAGGAAACTGCATTTTTCCTAAACACTTGGTTCCCCCATTCTGGTTTTATTTCTAATCTTTTAATTATGAAGCTGGAAAGATCAATACACTAGAAAACCCCATTTTCTTGATATGCAAATTAATTAAGGTTTATAGTATAGAGTTTCTTAGTTCATACTTGTTAAAAATCACCTGAGGAAAATTTGTATTTGAAAATTCTAAATTTCTCTAAAGAAGTTTTCAAATGATCATTGTACTGAGAAAACCCTTTCACATTCAAGGTAAACTCCAGGTGCAATCTCAGCTCCTCCTGCCCCATGGGGACCGGCTGAGTGTAAGAACCTTTCCCTTCATTCATGAGACAGTCACTAGCAAGAGAAGCTACAAAATAAATTATCCCCTGGATTGTAAAATTGACATATAATCTCAGAAATTTTGAAAAACTTGGAAAATTAGAGAAAACAAGTTCTATTCTACCAAGACAAGCACTGTCAACATTTTGACACATTTAATTCCATACTTCTTCTAATGCAGCAACAAATACAGCTATAATCATATTCCTACTTTAAATCTCCTATCTGTCAGAGTGAGGTGTCCATACATATGCCCATTGGCTGAGAAAGGACCAGCACGCACAAAGGCGGGTCATGCAGGCCAGGGACTCACCACACCCTTGCCACACATCTAGACTCAGCTCATTTAAACACTGGAAGACGGGAGGTGGCACTGCGTCTACAAAGATGCTCCCCTCCCGCCTCCATGTCTCACCTTCCAAGCTCTCACCTTCCGAGCTCTCGCTGCTGGAAATGTTCTCAGGATGCTGGCCGTGGTGTGGCTCTGGCACACTGGGAACGTACCCCTCTGGAGGCAGACTCACGGTGTAGAGCCGCCTCCCAGACTGGGCCTTCGTGTCACCGTCTGAAAGAAAAAAGGAAAACAGTCTGAACTGGCGAATTTACTACATAAGGCAATCAGACATTAGTTCACCCTGATTACATCAAGAGCATTTCTCCAGTTAAATTCTTTTTTTTTTCTCTTGTGAAGATTTTTATTTTCAATATCCTTGATGTTTTCTCACATATAGCTTTAGCTTCACACTTACTATTTTTTTTTTATTGAATGGTAACTATCCAGTTAAATTCTTTAAAGACATGAAATCAAATAGCTCAAAAAGCTCGAACCACTGATATAAATACTGATTTTAAGGTGCCATGTATTGGGTGGCGCCTGTGGCTCAAAGGAGTAGGGCACGGGGTCCATTTACTAGAGGTGGTGGGTTCAAACTCGGCCCTGGCCAAAACCTGCAGAAAAAAAAAAAAAAAGATGCCATGTATTTTGCCAGAAGAACATTCACCTATATATCTAACCAGGTAGAAGGAATGAACTATGATTATTTAAATTCCTATTAAGTTATCTATTAAACTTCTAGGTTTTCATAATATGATATAAAAACCTAACTAATTACTGAGTATGCAGCAGAAAATATATACATCAATACAGTTGATGTAACATGTCCTTTATCCCCACACTGTGAATCTCTTAACATACCAGTGCACAGACTTCTGGAATTTTTATCCGTATGTGCTAACATGTGCACACACACAGACACACACACAGGTATCTTCATGGGATCATGGCACATACATTTTATTATGTATTTATACAGATTATATATTTGTATCTTGTCTATATAAAGTCATTCAAAACTAAATATAATATGATAGAATACTATGATATATCTCACTCTGTATCCTCTTTTAGTGGCTGCAGTCTCCCAGGCTACAGGAAATTATAATGTAATCAAAGGCAGCACTCTCCAATGGGGACAATGTGGGTGACTTCAACTTGTCACTCTCCCAGGCGACAGCCACAATACGTCTTGCCATGTAGTACCTTTTTTAGAACTCAGACTTTGTTTCTTTCCGATAAACTTCTGGGGAGGGAATTGCTGATTTGCAGAGCAGACACCCCTTGTCTGGAAGGGCTGTGGGGAGACGGCCACTTCTGCCCACCCCCGCCGCTGTGCTGGGCAGCAGTTCATCCCTTGTGAAACACAGCAAAGTGTGCTCAAGTGCTTGACAAATACAGGTAGATATCTCAGTTGGTCTTTTCATGGATAATGTGCATTTTATTTTAGAAACAATACGGTAGAGATTGAGCAAATCACTAATATATAATAGAATGTGTGGTTTCAAGATATTTAAACATAAAGATTTTCAGTGTAAAAACTTGAAACATTTCCAAATTCTTCTGATGTCAGTGTCTTTCACTTTTTTGAAGCTGAGGTGCTGGGATCCTACTTCTGGGATTGATCTGATTCACTGTAGTTGATTATGGCTCACGTGACTTCCTGCCAGAATCCAGGGAGATGGAGACATGACCCTTGTCTGGTAGCACTGATATTTGATCAATTTTCACAGAATAGTTTTGGAATCTTTAATCAGCTAAATCGTTCTTCATAGACAAGTCAAACAAAACTTAGAAGTGTCATCGTTCACTGACTCATCAGGATGAGCACAGCAGGCACAGGGAAGTGAGGCGATGGGAAGTCCTCATGCATTTCAAAGACGAGCTAAAATGCAGTGTGTCAGGGAGCCCATCTGCCTGTTAGGAAACTGGACATTGAATTACAGCTGGGCTTTAGCTCTCTCCTGCCTTCCTCTGCTCTCTGCCTTCCTCCTTTTCCCCCTCACTCTTCTCTATCTCTCTCCCCTCTTCAGTGCTGCTCTGCAGCCTCCCTCCCCCCACCAATAAAGACCTTTCATACAAAAAATAAATAAATAAATAAATAAAAGCTAGGCTTTAAGCAATAATGCTGCCACCTCAGAATGAAGGGCGTGGAACATTACCTCAGTTTGTTCATTTGTAAATTAAGGTGACTAGTTAAGATATAATAACTTTGGTCTAATTTTTATATTTTTGGGGTAATTTACAGTCCACTGTGAGGACATGTACCCCTTGCTCAAGTATAACAGGGAAGAGATCAGTTACACTTGATGGCACAGCCACTGGCCAGAGGATTCTCCATCCCGTTGTCCTCTCTGATTATGTGCAGAGAAGTCAGCATCTTCGAGCACAGCTCCTGGGACCTCTGACCCCTTGAACAGGCCAGACAGTGGGGAGGTCAGATCCTACCCCCTGAGGGTGAAGGTCCTGAGCAAGGAGACAGGTCAGATCCTACCCCCTGAGGGTGAAGGTCCTGAGCAAGGAGACAGG